ACATATGAACGACACTAATATCAACACACACAGTCCTATATTTGAAGTATTGTACAAAATTTACACAACAAAACATTACACCCCACATCTGCACTAGTGCAGAAAACACCACACACTTCTAGAGGGAACAACTCACAAGCAAGGGTCATGTGAGTGTAAGGAAACCAACATAACAGATCATTAATAATAGCAATCAGAAAACATTAGCAAAATGGGCTAATGAACAGAAAAACAAGCTGCAGAAACGAACCTTCTGGATAATCACATAGTTCAAAACAAGTGTACGATGCCCCTTATGAGGTGGATTAGGATTTTACGAAATATTTTAATAGAAAATTTTAATTCATTTTAATTAATTATTTTATTTTTAAGTGGACTGCAGCGTGTGGTTTTAGTGCACATTGGAGCAGTGTAACAGTTTGGATACATTAATATTTAAGAGCCGAGCGACGCCATATGGCATCATTAAAATAAAGTCAAGGGGATGAATGACGCCATATGTCGCCGCACAGTCCACGCGTGCGGCCGGCTTTTTAAAATATAATTTTAAGTTATAAATTCTTTCTCTACTTACATGATTTTTGGTCACCAGCTTTATAAGTTGTCTCTCTTCCCACCTGCATTGTCTAACGGAATGTTGGCTTCGTGTGGAAATCTTGGAAACATCCGGAAATGCAGAGTCCCACATCACACTTCACGCACTTTATCCGGATGGTTCTTCGTTTCCCACGCGAAGAGCACACTCGACACCTCAATTTCGAAGTAGAGGAAGTCGGCCAGTGCTGTTGTTTGGCNGGTTTCACGATTTATAACCCTATGCGCAAATCAGTTCACTCTGTCTTCAGTAGTCTACACGCTTCACAGTAGGGGAGCTATGTAAGTGTTACTGTATCACACACTCCCAATTAATTCTCAGTTACACACACGTCCGGTACTTCTTTCCGCGACGGCTGCTTTACTCCAGCTATAATCTGCTGACTTGAGGACTGTTGATAACATACTCGCCCGACTACTACTGAACTCGGCGATAGCCACATTACAACTCGCTCACGCTTACTGCTCAGCCGTCTTTTATTCTGTTCGCTGTTGCCTGTTGTGTGCCATGTCACAGTAGGAAGTGGTGCCGCGTCACCGTGTTTGCGTATAGCCTAGCAACGCTGTTACCT